CTCCTCAGTAAACGATCTCATTTCCATCCCGGACCACTCTTTCACCTTCTGCCAGATTACAGAAAGAGAGTAAAAGTAAAAATACAAGACAAAGGACCCCCTTTGAGATTGGCGGAGTGTAGTTTTCCACGCGTCGGTACACGAGTCCTATCAGAGACTGTAGCTGGAGCCAAGTATTGACTCGCAAGTGGTCTTAAAGCGCATCCATGGCTCCTAGTGAAGTGACCACGCACAAGCTTTCTCCATGGAAAAGAAGCGACTAAGTATCAGCCTCGAATAGTTTCGCCAGTACTCCGCTAGGGCGACATTTATGTTGAGAGGGACGCATTTTAGCCGCATAACAGAAAGATGGTTCTGTCTTGGCTGAGTTCCTCCTCCCCCTCCCCCTTTGCACTTTACTTTCTATAGTCTTTTGATCTTCAGTACCTCCCTATAAATGAGACGTATTATGCTCCAACTGCCCATAAGAGTTCCACGTCCCTTTCTATACTCCACTCATCTCATTCCACCTGCCCTGTCCCTTCCTCCACAATCTCTGGTCGACAAAAGCCTTGTACCCTGATATATGGATGGAGTCTGACTTCGCAAATCCAGAAGTTGTATCGACGCTTTCGATAGCCCGCGTTCAACGCGCGCTGTCAGTCGTGAGAGCTGCCTCAAACGGGAGTAAATATCGGCCCCGCTTGTCCCGGTACTCTCCCGGCCCTCCCGCTTTGGTGGGGCATCGGTGGCCTCGGTATCGCCGCGCACGAATCTGGACTCGATTGCAATGCTGGGCTTATCTCTCACGTGTTTCTCGATCAAGTTTGACCTGTTTCCCAAAGTTGTAGAAAGGTAGTTGCTGCTTCAATGCTCCTCTTACCTACCTTATCTGAGGCTGTTGATGACGCCAAATTTGAGATGGCACCTCTCAATCACCGGAAAGAGGGAGCAGTTCAAGAGATCTACCCAAAAGCCCGTGTCCAACGGGGTTCGTAAGCGACTGATGCTCATCCGAATGTCAGATCCCATAGGCGAGACTTACTTTCCAACAAAGATGCACACGTTACCTTATTCAGCACCTCTGCACTTAACAATCGTGGAGCTCCATGGCGTGCTACCGCCTGAAGAATCGCCATTTCTCGAAAACTCACATAGCGCAGGAACACCACAATCAATCCCCTCAACCCACCTCATCATGTGCTCCTCTCCCCGACATTCCATCTAACAGTAAGCACCTTGATGGTCCCCGGCCATCCATCCCCCGTCCGCGCCGTCTGCGGGTGCGTGACTCTCCAATCGCTCCCTCGTGGGCACCTAATCCCTGTCGACCCAACCCCAAAGTTCCCCAACTCTGATCGCTGTATGGCTGGATTTTCCCCATGAAGCACGTTAAAGCGAACCCCCGGCCCCTCCATCCCTTCTCGGACTCGACTCCAACTGATAAGAGAAACGCAGAGAAAAGAGAGATAGGTATGTAGTGAGAGTGAGACAGAGAAGAAGAGAGACGCGCAAGTGCGGGCACCACACACCCAACTCTACCCCGGGAAGCTTGTTCATGACCTTCCCTACCTAGATGGCTAGCAAGCACAAGCGAAGCAACCTGGAGAGACAACTATGCCCCCTTCTCTGTGGCATTTGCTCGGTATCAGGCGGATCGGAGCGAAGGATGGAGGGTGGTGAGGGGTCGCGGGGGTTTCTAGTCTACGACTCGCGTTATCGGTTCCTTTGTCTTAAATACCACGCCCGCAGCCCGACCTTCTTCATGTAGACTTGAATGGAGAGCTGAACTTCTTTCTTACCTCTTACGTTTCTTGACCTCTGACGATTGCTTGATCTTGCTTGGCTAAAGCAGAAAAACGGGCTTTAAGACAGCTCATCATCCTTCTCACCCCCAGCTTTCCTTGCATTGCTTACAGCAAGCGCAACCTCTACTACGATCTGGCCCGGACTACATACTCAATCAGTCAATATGGGTTCCCAAGCATCCAAACCTGCCGTCGACGCCTCCAACGAAAAGGCCCTCCTCGAGCGTCTCCGCCGCTTCCAAGTCACCGACGACGACTTCGTCAACGTCGCCGCCAGCGGCAGCGATGACGAGAAGCGAGACATCAGGCTCGTCCGTGAGCCAGAGGGTCTCCCCGTCCAGCAGACACAGTCCTGGCAGTCGAGGTTCCTCGCCGACCCCAAGAACAAGTAAACACTTCCTCTTCTAATTCATCCACCAAAACACCACAGCTAACTCTCCTTCCAACAGACTCGCCCTCACGGCCCTAAGCACAGCAGACCCCCGCACAGTCCTAACCTCAACGGCAACCAGACTATCCGACCCCCAAATCTTCAACACCCGCATCCCCTTCGAAGGCGGGCCCATCACGAATCAGCGCTCCTCAGGCCGCTGCTGGCTCTTCGCCTCCACAAACGTCTTCCGCGTCGCCCTCATGCGCCGCTACAGCCTCGAGTCCTTTGAGCTCTCCCAATCCTACCTCTTCTTCTGGGACAAGCTCGAGAAAAGTAACTACTTTCTCGAACAAATCATCGACACCGCCGCAGCGGGGGAAGACCTCGACGGACGCCTCGTCCAGGCCCTGCTGGGCGATATCGTGAGTGATGGAGGACAGTGGGACATGGTCTACAACCTCGTCCAAAAGTACGGCCTCGTCCCGCAGGCGTTGTACCCAGACTCCTGGAACGCCATGAACTCGGGCGTCCTCAACTCCATCGTCAAGACCAAGCTCCGCGAATACGCTCTCATCCTCCGCAAGCTCGTCCAATCTTCCTCCTCTTCTGCCTCCCCACCCTCCTCCTCGGCAGCAGAAACCCTCACAGCAACAAAAGAGAAAATGATGCGCGAGATCCTCTCCATCCTAACCCTCGCCCTCGGCCCGCCCCCCAACCCCCGCGAAGAATTCACCTGGACCTACCTCGACAAAGCCTCCAAACCCCACACCCTCAAAACAACACCCCAAGCCTTCGCCCGCGACATCTACTCCTCCGACCTACGCATCACCTCCTCCGTAATCGACTCCATGGTCTCCTTAGTCCACGACCCGCGCCACCCGCCCCTCACCCTCCTCACAGTCGACCGCCTAGGCAACATCGTAGGCGGCCGCGGCGTAACCTACGTAAACGTCTCCATGGCCACCCTCAAATCCGCCTGCGTATCCATGATCAAAGCCGGACTCCCCGTATTCTTCGGCTCCGATGTCGGGAAATTCAGTAATTCTTCCGCGGGGGTGATGGACCTCGACCTCATCGACTACGAGCTCGGGTTTAACGTCTCCCTACTGGGCATGGATAAGGCCAGCCGTCTCCGGACGGGCGAGAGCGCCATGACGCACGCCATGGTGCTGACTGCCGTGCACCTCGACGAGGAGAGCGGCGAGAGTGTGCGGTGGAGGGTGCAGAATAGTTGGGGCGAGAGCGCGGGCGATAAGGGTTGGTTCGTCATGAGCGATGCGTGGATGGATGAGTTTGTCTACCAGGCTGTTGTTGATCCGCGGTTCCTGAGCAAGGAGGTCCGCGGCGTGATTGGGACGGAGCCGACTGTGCTGCCGCTGTGGGATCCCATGGGCAGTTTGGCTTAGAGATCTGTGTAGATCCCGTGTGTGCCGTGATAGATGGGGAGAGGTGTTTGCGAGAGTGATGGATGCATACCATTCATCCACTCCCCCTCTTCTGCGTATGATACAGATGATGATTTAGAACCTTTACTTACAGTAGGACAGCGTGCCAATTTACTAGTTTCAAACAGAAACCCACCTGAACGAAGTCTTGGTCGAGTGAAAGCCATTACTTTTATCCGCGGTCGTGGTTTTGACAGCTTTTGCCCACGGGATAACCCAGCATCGAGATGGAGACCCTTTTGGGTCCGGCGCCGTCAACGGTCGTCTAGCTCAATCCGGACCGGCGTCAGACCAACGACCGAGCGAAGTGGACAATGTGGACTACGCCAACTCATCATTAATCACCTTCTGTCAAAGTTCCCGTCAACCTCTGCTCCAGTTACCGTCAATATGCACGCCCCCGCACACCGTCTCCGGGACGGAGACAGCCCGAAGACCCGGACACCTTCCCCGGGGCGGTCGACCACGAACCCCGGGGGGATTTCCCGCTTCGCCAAATACTTTCTAGGCCAATGGAACCCCACTTCATTTCACCGAGAATGGTCTCGCCCCGGGTGTCCGGGACAACAAAGGGTCCAGTCAGTAAGCAGCTTATACACTTTTGTGTCTTGCCCGGCCCGCAAAAGTTATCTTCCAAGGCCGGACGCGTTCTGCAAACTTTGGCTCGGCGGGTTGTTGGCCACAAGAAGACGAAAAGTGAGGCGAAGGGTGGTCCCGATGGCGGGCCCTTGCGTATAGGCAGAGGTTTTTGTCACTATTGGCGCCAGCTTCGGCAATGCTGAGTCTGTTGTTACATGCCACGAGCCTACCACATCTTCTCGTCGACTTTGAGGCATACTCTTGAGACGGAAAGATGTGTTCTGATGGGCTGACGATTGATAGCAAAGACGTGAAGCTAGGCCGCATAGTCCATCAGTTTGCGCCCTGTCTAAGCCGTTCATGAACTAGACCAACCGCCGGTCGACAAAGTCGAGTCTAATCGCGGCACGTGGAACTACGCTTAGATAGAAACTAGTTCCGTCACGCATAGCCAAGTGCCGCTTGGCGGCGCATTAGTGCTCAGGTCAACTATTCAGTGTAGTCAGTGTCATTGTCTGCCCTGCTAATGTAGCTCCCCAGGCACTGGCTCGGTCAGGAGCGCCAACGATCTGTAAAGTGCCAATGTCTGCGTGACTGGTCAACAGCCTCAGCCGCACAGTTGCCAGCGCGGGTTCAGATTACGGAGACTATGGCCTCAATTCAGATGGCAGTGCGGTGCTTTCTTGGCACTGTAAAGAACCACGTGGGAAACAGGCCATTTCAGACCTCAACGCCCTGCCTATTAGGAGCTCAGCGTGAATTGAGCTGTCGGTTGCATCTTCTGAGCTTGGTGGAGAGCATCATCTCGTATCAAGCCTGCGCACGTAGCACACCAAGGCCCGCCATCGTCGGCCGATCTGGATGAAACGTTGCGAGATCGAGATGCGAGAATAAGCATCTCAGAGTTTTCCTTCACTCACCGAATTGACGGTTTTCAGAGGCTGGAACAGGTCACTCGTGGGTCAATAAAGCGGAACAACCTGAAATGAATAGCAAATGCCCTCTGGACGGATGCGCCCGACACAGGTCGGGCGTGAACCCAACGGCGCTGTTTGGTGGCTTGGGGTTGTCAGAACCGGGGCATGGGACCGCCCCTGCCCAAGTGTCAACGTTGTCTGATGGGGACCACAGCAGACGAGAGCAAGCCCCCCCAGAGCAAGTAGTGTTCAAGGCGAAGTGGTCTCGTTGTTCACCGAAGGAGCGCGTTGAACAGCCTACAGGTCGGCAAGTCAAGCCAGTTAGTAGTATGTAGTGTACACCATCAACAACAGGCCCGCTAAGGCCATGTCTTTCGGCAGGGCTGTTTGGCGAAGCAATGGGAATGGGATGCTCCTTGTCTGAGCGGGAGAAAAACGGGGGAGAGCATCGCCGTTGCCTCTTTTCGGTCGTCTGCGTGGCTGTCAAGACAGCCATCCCTCGAGTATCGTTCGTCACCTCACACAGGCAAGGCAGCCTGGGAGACGTTGCACTTGTTGCCTTCTCCCATGCATTTGCGGCTTGCCCATGCAAGCAATGCCGCAATCTGCAAGTGAGGGAAATACTGCGACAACAGCGTCGCCAGAGTATAGCGGTGAGCAAGCAACGGAGACATGTCGAGTTGCATCGCATCTTTGGGGCTCAAAGATCAGCCCCGTTGACCCCACGCGGCAGTTGCGGGCTGTAGACGCAGAAAAGCCTAAGGGGGATCGAGTCAGGGCGGGCAGACGCAAGTCATTGCTTGTTTGGTGGTATGCTTTGCGCTGTGGCGTGGTCTTTGTATGCAGATTATATGGGTATGCGCCTTGCAGAAAAGCGAGATGCTGCAGATGTAGTCCAAAGGGGAGGGGAGGGCGAAGTCGAGTTTCGGTGGCGGCATCTGACCGGCCATGGTGTTGACGAGAGAACTAGTCTAGTACGGCGAGAGGTTGTTGTGGTTTGGAAATGGGTGAAGTGGTGCGGGGTGGTCTGCCGTCGGCCGCTGTGTTCCGTCGGCATCGCCCAGTCAATAATGGTGGTGATATCCATACTTCCGAACGCCTAGTGTCGTATGGTGTCGAACTCAGGCCCGGGGATGGCGGCGCGGAGAGGGTTCCAGAGTTTTCGACACGTCCCACAGTTGGGCTTGTTGCTTGGCGGTTGCATCGTCGACAACTGACAGCCATCAGGGCGAGGACGAGGGGCACGACAGGCGGGTAAACGCAGGAAAACTGAGGCCGAAGATGCAGGAGGTGTTGGTTGGGTCGAAACGGGGCATGGTGTTGGATGTGCCGCGGACCGGACAATACCACAGCAGTTGCAGTGAAGAGTCTTGCAAGTGGCAACCTGATGGATAGGACAGAGCCCGACGGGCCGCTCAGAGGCATACATCCACTTGAACATGGACATGGTTGGAGTCAAAGTCGGATTACCGGCTCAGTGGAGCACACGACAGGCGACGGTGGACGACAATAGGCGCCTCAATGTCCGCGAGAGGAAGGGATCGTGGTACTTAAGGTTTGAGAAGTGGAGGATAAGCGTGTGGCAAGCAACAGAGACTGCGACGAGGCAACCAATAGTGACAGGCCGGTATTGTTCTCCGATGCTCATGAGTGTATGTTTGGAGGGGGCACATTGCCTTTCCGATGTTGAAGGAATCCAGGAGGGCGCAACATCCACGTCTCTGGTTATGGTTGACTGTTGAAGTTTGAGCGAACCGTCGATGAAGCGGCACGTCGTTGATTTGCTCCTGCCCTCCCGTTTGCTGTTGAACGTTCCTTCCCTTCCAGACTCCCTTGATACGTACCTCGGTACCTTCCCTGACAAAGCAAGTGGAAAGTACACAGGTACCTCAGAATCCATGGAATGGCAAGAGCAAACCTGCAAGACCCGTGGGTTCCTCCTGCCTTCTAAAGATGGTCCATCTTCAAGCATGACGGCGGCGCGGTCTAGACTTCTGGTCTCTTGGAGCTGCAAATGAAGCAATTTCATTCTGTGACATCCAACCCGGTTGATCGATAAAAACGAAGAAGAAAACGAGGGAACAAGAGAACATAGCCGTGGGCTCCCTACGTGTTCATGTTTATGCACCAAACAGCATCTTCCATTGGCCCCAGTACAGGCCATTCCTAGCTAAAGGCAATAATTCGCCAACCGTCCCGAACGGTTGACGTCCATTGACGTCCCTCGGCCAAACTCCCCGTCGTCACCACGCGCTAACACAATCTTCGAGATCCAGTCACCATCATTTCCGCTGACGCTGACGTCGGTCAAATTCCCGCCTGCCTTTCTAGTTGTCACTGGTGACCGACCGTATCTATTAGTCAGGGACCCGAGCAGTTCCCCTGCCGTAGACCCTTAGCATCGAGACAGGCGCCGCCGAATTTCAGAGCAACGGACCACACACGCCGCAGAAGAGATAATTGCAACATCGACCTTCGAGACGACGACAGAAATTGGACAAATGGAATCTCGGGGTTGAGCGCCCCTGGAGCGGTCTGGCGCAAGTTCTCTCGTCCCGTTGCCAACGTGCCATTGAATGCGTATGTGTGCAACATCTACGCAGAACCAGGCGCATTTGAATACATTCAACACTGGAAACTCGACAACTGTAGGCTTGTTCTTACTGTGGTAGGTAGCAGTTGTTGACAGTCCCCGTCAGGTACAATGTCACAGGGTCTCGTCGGTGGCGATGGAATGTTATCTGCCCAATCCTTTGGAGTGCAGCTGGATCTCTCTTTACCAGTCGACAGCAGCAGAGTTATTTCAGGCCATTCCACCAGGCATTGGAGAGACGTGGCCCAGACCCTCCTTACCTTGGCTGAAAGGTTGAAAATCTAGGATTGGAAACTTCGCCGGGCCTGAAAAGCGCCAAACTCCAACCGACCAGCCCGGTGTGGTCCTGATCCTGGCCTCACAGGCTCTCACCTTAGCTTCTCAGTCCTGATCCACGTCCAGCCAGCAGGACGTCATCGCCATGATCGACACGGACGACAACCGGCTTCCCAAAACGGCAAGGGAGCGACCGTTTTGCACACCATCAACACCTTGCCAACAGCCATCAACCCGTCAACTGCATGCTTGCTCACCCCAATGGCAGGGTTCTTTGCCTCGCCTTTGAGGTACGGAGGACTGTCTCACATCCCACCGCGGGTAGGCTCTGCTACCTAAAGTTTCATTCTCCTGAGCCAGCGCCATCAGGTCGGACCCTTGGGTCGGAATAATTACACCAATCTTGGCTGAGTTCATTCCGCGGCACCTGCGCTCTCGCCTCTCCCTTGTCTCGGGACGCTTTTGCACTTTGGGTTGAGGCCACCATCCATGTTATCTAATGTGTAGTCCTCTGCACAATATCATCATCATTGTCTTTGGAGGTACACTCCATTTCGCATCCCGAGACGTCAGCGGTCAGCAAGCAGCTTCGTTGCCATCGAATCAACATTTAAGTACAACAGATTGCATGCTCCCGGACGGAGTAAGGCTCCTGTGATCCTGCCAGCTGGAAAGCCACAATTCGTCTCGACATTCACAGTTTGACACCGAATCCTCCGAGCAGAATTTGGCTTTCTGCTATTGTAGCTGATTGAGGACCACACGCCACCGAAAAGCAGACACCGAGACAGGAACTGCATGTCAACTCCAGAACCCCCGTCTCATGCGACGTCCGCCTGGCTTTCATCTGAACTTTGTGAGAACCATCTACACTGCAGAGACGAAACGGCCCTAGCCAAGCAAACTGCTCCTGCATGTACCCTCTGACTGGCCTGACTTGACCCTTCAACCTCGAGTCTGAGCAACTTCAACTAGACTCTGTGGCTGATTGTCAACCTAGCTGTCGACGCGCTTGACCGTAACTGCGGTGGGCTAAGGAGTCTAACAGTGGGAGAGAAAACAAAAGGCCAAACCACCCGGTACTGGTATTAGTCTGCCGTCATCTCGTTGACTGCTCCGTCACTGACGACGGCGCTACCTCACGGCATTGGCATTGACGTTGACGCACGTCCGCCCATTTTCTACCAATCTTTCTCGTCAGCTTAGGACAACTTGACAAGGTACAACCAAATACCTCTGGCCATCATTAGCAATACTTCACGTGCAGAGGTCAGCACCCGAGAAGAAGACGCTCTTTGGCATTTGCGCTACATGCAGCCTTGTCACGACGAGAAGCGACCAGCCGTCGTCAAGTCCGGATAACCGCAGCCACTCGCCATCTTCCGAAGACCCCTACTGGAGGAACATTGTGCGCCTCGAGTACACGGTTCGGCCAAGTGACATCCTTGGCCTTATCACCCAAGTCCTTGGTTTTCGCAGAATTCGTCAACGTCCGTACCGATACCACCGACACGACGCCCTCAGTACTTCCGTATACCTACTACAGCCGGCTCCCCGCTACACCGAAGACAAGCTCTCGGGCAACCAGTTGTATTGTCCCATTGTTTGCTGACTGTCTCCTCTCCCTGACATATCTGCTAATAAGGGGATAAGGACACACGGGCTGGAGAGGGCCCCGGTGCATCCATCAGCATCCATCATCAAAGCAAACCCCCCGCGATCCTTGCTGCTCAGTCGACAGGGATCAGTCGACTCCTCCCTCCGTCATTGCGCCCGGGATAATCCCCTCCCCAAAATACTCGACGTCGCAGTGTCTTCAACCATTGCCCAATTTTTGCCCCCCCCTTCTCTTCTGGCTCTCTCTCTTGCGTTTCTCGGATGCCTCAGCCTCAGTGACGTTATCTCTGTACTACGGTATCTGGTAGGTGATTCTCTCTTCCTCCTACGTACACACATCCCGCTTCTTCACCTCATCTTTCTTGTACGCACAAACACGCCATGCGTATGGTCTATACTCGGCACAACCATCCACAGTGTATGGAACCATATGGAGACCTTGCATGGATTCATTCATCCTATTTTTGAGACTACGCCCGCCCATTCAACATCTGCTTGAGTCTCCTAATAAAGCTGACTCGCCCCTCTTTTCCTGCGGTACTGCAGATGCATGCAGTTGAATTTCCACTCCAGTCCACAACAGACAGACTGGGACGTTTCGACAGCGATCCGACGACAGAGTCCACCCAACTCCAGCCCGACCTGCTAGCCCGACCTAAGAACCCGACCTGACCCAGCCCATTTGACGGGGGTCTTCCACCACGAACACGACCAAAGGAACGGGAAGAGACCAGACTGAAGTGATCTGAGAGGAGACCGGGACCCCGCCATCTTTCATCAACCAAAAAGAATCCACCTCATAATCCATTTCAGCGGGTATCCCAACGATTTGCCCCTCCTCTTTCTCTCCTTCACCCTCTGTGCAAGAGAGGGAGAAAAAAAAACCCCCCCCCCGAACAAAATAGAGCACCGTCCACTTGGTAGCTCTATCGCCCAAAATCAGACAACAAAGTAAGACACCTCGACGCCCAAACAAGCGACAGCCCGAAAAAGGGCGCCAAAGCACCTCCAAGTCAAAGCGACCGAGAGGGGCAAGAATTTTTTTTTTAGGAAAGTGAGAGAAGAGACCAAATTTCCTTAGGGCGGAATTCCTCACGTGGTTGCGACGTGCGTCCAGCCGCTACGGCCGTCCCGCTTCATATCCATCTGTTCAAGGTGGTCAGCGCCCAACCCAATTCCCGACTGCCCCTCCTCACCTCATCCTCCTCCCTCGACGTGCACCCTCGAGGCGCTGAGCATTCTGCCTCATCCAACTCATTCCGGAGGAAAGGCACCTCGACGGCGACAAGCGAAAGCCACACGTAGGACGATTTGTCGACGACTCGACGACTCGACGTTGCCATGGATCACCGTTACTCATCGTCGCGATACACCACCGCTCGGCCACGGTCGCCCACTTTCAATCCTGCGAGGGCTTCGCTTCCCACCAGTATTGGCTACAGTTCCATGTACGGGGGTGATATTCATGTCATGCCCACGTCTTCGACAAGATATGCCTCGGGCAGTTCTCGACCCCATCATTCCGGTACGCCGACGACCACGACGACGACTTATGCAGTCACCAAAGACCCCCTCGCTCGCGGCCCCGGCCTGAGAGAAGCGAGCCGCAATCGCTCTCATCGCTCATCGACCCTCGACTCTACCTCTGCCCGACCAGTCATTGTCACCACAACCACCCGACCGCCGCAGGCCAGTTCATCATCGCACCACTCGTCCAGCAACAGACATAGCAGCCCAACTCGCGATGAGTATCGCTCCAGCGACTCGACATTCTACACGCAGCCTGCGTCATCCATACGTTCTCGAAGCCATCACCGCGGTGGCTCTTACAGCGCAACGATGGACAACGAAGAGTTTAACCGTATGCGCGAGCGAACCCTCGATCCTACACCGTCTAGGCACGATTCGTATCGCCCTTCGAGGTCTTCAGCCATTTATGCCAACACTTCCCGCCATGGAAATGCTCCAGACATTGGTGGCACGGATGGCTACGAATATACTACACCAAGCGACTTAGCACGATACGACTTGGACCACGCTCGGCCTCCTTCCCGATCACGCAGGCGAGAGAGCATCGATCGTGGCTATTACCGACCGAGTGTTAATGTCACCACGACTGAAAGCACTAGTCGTGCATACGATGCCGGCCGACAGCGAGCAGGTCCGCCGCCTACCACCTGGGGCTTGGACAAAATCAACCGCTCCTCCACAAATGTATACGACCCGTCCCAAAGCTCGATTCCTCCGGCGGCCCCTGTGGCGCCCGTTCACCTACCAGTTCCTCCCAGCCCAACAAGCCGACGCTCCACTGGTGGTATCCCTTCTTCCATGGATGTAGCCGCGGCGACTTCTGTGGCTGCGGCAACTGTCGCAGGAGCGACTGCCTCTCGGCGACCTGTGTCAGTGTACAACGAAGCTCCTCCTCGATCAAGCCATCACGAGGACTACTACAGGAGCCGCGATGACGATCGGGCTCAGCGACAAGCTCGGGAGCCTGATCGCAAGTACGATCCCATTTATGGCAGCGGCGACTACTATGACAACGGCGTCACTAGCCGTGGTTTTGGTATCCGTACAGACTCGGCTCCCGTTGGCGGCGACTTTGAAGACCGACGCAGGGAGGCACGGCCCGAGTCTCGGAATGGCTATCGCCCAGACTCCCGCACTGGATATAGACCAGAGTCACGCGGTGGCCACCGACCAGAGTCTCGAAGTGGTCATCGAACGTCGCCTCCGGATGTCAAGAGAGGCTCCGACGATGAATCCAAGCGACGAGAGGACAAGGATCGCTCAAAGCGTGATTCGGCTCGCGTCGAAACTGACAAAGATCGTCACCCGCGGCGGACCAGTACGGCCAATGAGGACGAAGCCGAGCGGAAGCGACTACGTGATAAGTTGAGTACAGGGCTTGGTCTTGCCGCCACCGCGATTGGCCTTGGCTCGGCCGTAAAGGAAAAGGAGAAGGAGAAGGACGAGCGTCCCGAAAAGCCGGAGCGGGAGTCCCGGCGCCGAAGCGACGAAGAGGACCCTGGAGCTCGTGCTGCCGAGAGATACAAGCCTCGGGAGGAGTCTCGGGACCCTCGTGACCGTGCACCCGTCATTGTCGAGACTCGCAGAGCTGCCGCCGAGCAAGAGGCAGACGTTCGTGATCGTGAGAAGGAGCGTGAAAAAGAACGCGATCGAGAGCGTGACCGAGAACGTGATCGGGAGCGTGACCGAGAGCGTGATCGCGACCGTAACCGCCGAGATGCCGAAGCCAAGCTCACGGGCGATTCTACAACTGCACAACAAGATGCGTCCCCCGAAGATGACGAGCAAAAGTCAAGACGCCCGAAGCGGCAGATTGGCTTCAATCCTACCAACACCAACGATATTCGAGAGTTGAAGGAGCAACTGGCAGCCATGAAGGATGACAAGCCAGAACGGGTCCCCGTTCCTGTTGACAGATCAGACCGTGTAGACCGTGCCGATCGGGCGGAGCGTTCAGAACGTCCAGAGCGCTCAGAACGTCCGGAGCGCTCAGAGCGTACAGAGCGGTCTGATAGATACGAACGATCCGACCGATTGGACAGGCCCGAACGATCTGAGAGAGACGACAGATCAGACAAGCAAACATATGCCGATCTTCCGCTCCGCGAGCCACACAGAGAACCGAAGGAACGCACGCCTTCACCCAAGAAGGAGTCGCCGCCACCAAAGAGAGAATCACCCGTCTCGCTCCCTTCAGCCGACTCGATTGTTACTTCATCCAGAGATGAACATCGCGACCGTGATCGCGATCTTACACCACCTCGTGACGACAAACAGGTCCGCGTTGTGTCTCCCCCACGCGACAAGTCCGACTCAAAGCCTCTCAAGGGGATTTTAAAGGCACCCAAGAAGTACCCCGAGGAGGACAACCCAATTCGCGAGGGTGTAGCACCTCACAAGGATGATAAGAAGCTGAGAGAAGTTCCTCCTGGTGCCCGTTGGACCAAGATTAGCCGGAAGATCGTGAACCCTGAGGCCTTGACCGTTGGCAAGGAGCGTTTTGAAGTCCGAGACGACTTCGTCATCGTCCTTCGCGTTCTCAGCAAGGAGGAGATCCAGGCCTATGCCGCCGCAACACAGGTCTTGAGAGGTATGTTGAGAAACTAGAAGCACTTGCTTTAACAAAGACTAATATGTGGAACAGAACGGAGACGCGAAGAGACTGGCAAAGACCGGGACCAGGATCGCACACGTGACCGCGATGGTGAAGATGACGACAAGCGAAAGCACCGTCACCACAGGAGAGAGGAAGGCGATGATGAGCGGTACGATGAGGAGCGTGACAGAGAGCGCCACCGCAGACATCGTCGAGATGAAGACGAGTACGAGGACGACTCGAGGCGACGTGATGATCACCACCACCGCCACCGAGAGCGTGACCGCGAGACTCTCGCCATTGAAGGCTGAGGAGTCCCGTGCAAGGAGATGTAAGAGGAAGCATGTAGCAGGAAATGATGATAGTTGTATGCGCGGAGCTTTGGTTATCTAACGGCAGCATTGGACGAGGAGCCCTTGAAAGCGAGAAGCGTATCTTTTCATTGAATTTATATATCTTTTTTTTTAACAGATTTGGGAAAGCGAGAGATATTTATGACTTTCACGTGTGGAGTGATTGGGTTCAGCGGCTATCAGGTCAATGTCAAAAAAGAAAAATATTATTGGATTTGCATATGATACATCCTGTCCACTTTTTGCGTGCTTAGCCATGAACGATTGACGCCTTCGGGAAGGAGAATTGGGGACGCAAAGGAGCGAGACGAGAGCGTGGAGGGTAGAGGGTCCAGAATTATTGGTCTCGTGAGGTGGTTTGCACGAACTGGTGTTAAGATCGCGCGAACACCATGACGTACGGAGGTTAGCTTCGTGGGTGAGGGGTTCGTCCTCGGGCTTGGCCGGAGGTGTGTGTGGTCGGTATTTTTTGCGGGTTTTTGGAAGGGCGCGAGGTTTGGGATGAGTCTGACAAACAAAACTTGGATTTGGCGATTGTTTGCGGCCATTTTCCTTCTTTTTCTTCTCATGGTTTAAGTGAAGGGAATTGCTAGAGTGGTCTTTTCATTCGTTTCGTGGAGCGAGGTTGCGTGAGGCGGGGGGAACTAGTTGAGGGAGCGAGAGCTGTTGGCGTTTGTCGAAACCGCGCTGGATGGGGGTTTTTCCCTGTATCAATACACCATGCCTGCCTTGGCTTGCCCAAGTATGCTTGGCGAGCTCTATTTCTGCAGTTCTTGGGGCAAGTTTCTGAAGATTCGGCCGCCGGGTTGATTTCGTCATGGCTCACGAGCTGTTATGGCTGTGCCTCGAATTGCGGCGCCTGAGACATACCTTACTAGGTAGGTACCTACTTCCATATAAAAAGGGGTTGGGAGTCCCGCATGAAGAAGGTATCGAAACAGAGGCGTCGGCTGACAGTTGCTCCGGTTTTCAATGAAGCTGTTGCCGATGAGAATATCGTAACTCTTCTTTTGGTGAGATATTAGATGGAAGCAGCGCTAGGTCGGGAGCTAGGGACTACCTTATAGTCGTCCTGGTCGGGAGGCCCGGCGCCCTCCGGCCGGGTGTGGGTCTACGAATATACGGAGGCGGATGCGGAATCTCCGAGAGGCCTGAGACATTACGTTATTATCCACGCCTTTGTTAGAGATAGTTTGGGTTTGCTAAACTTCCATCTCCCTGAAATGTTACGACATGGAGGACGAACCCATGGAAGTCGCTGGTGGCTGGTGGCTGGTGGCTGGCCGCTAGTAACGGCGCAGCGGCGTGGCTGCCGATGTTGACGCCTACAATTGCGGAAAGTCCATCGGGTCTATGTCGGACGTAGTCTGACTTGAAGAAAAGAACCTTGCTGAGGAACGTTTTGGGAATGATGTAGTTCTGACAGTTTCATCAGTAGCAAGTTTTCCCACGACCTTTTGAATCTCTCTTGTTGGAGAATGAAGTACGGATAATCACAAGAAACACATAAGCTTCTCAAGGAACGTGCTCAAGTTCTAGTGAGATAGCGCATCGTCGGAAAGCTCCTTTTCAGCAGTGGACTGGTGATGTTGAAGAAGCCCATGCAGGTCTACAGCGAAAATACGAGATAATGTATCCCTGCGCAGTTCGATACCTTGGAACGGAAAGTCCACACGGGAGATGGAAGCCAGCAATCTTGTACCTTCCTAATGCATGTCTGCCAAAAATTAGCGACATGATGCGATTACGGAGTAATCCACGTCCGTTATTCTACAAAAGTAAAGGCTTCACGAACCCTCGATCTTGAAGACTGATTGATAGACTTGATTCAACGTCCTACATAGCAATCGCTTCGGATTGTAAGCCATGAGACAAGATGAGGATCTCTCACTTGGCAGGCCTCCTGTCCATCGTGTCCGGCACCCTAGCTGCGACCTTCAAGTCCTGCACCGCCGCGCAAATCGTCACGCTCGAAGCGGCCATCGAGCGAGCGACCAACAAGTCCCTTGCGGCGATTGAACACTTAGAGGATAACCCCAACGGTAGCGATGTCCAGACGACGTGGTACGGGACGTTTAGTACCGCGCGCTATAACCGCGTGTTGACGGCTTTCAAGGTGCGTTTGGCGGGGCTGATACTCTTGACGGCTGAGAACCCAGATGAGTTGACATTGTTGAACAGAAATTCGCCTCTGATCTGGCTACGACGTTTTCTTAGGATTGCTCTTGTACCAGCACCGTCGTCTATGCAACGATTGGCGGCACGTACGGCGACGTCAAGATCTGTAGTGTGTACTTCAACGAGGCGATGCTACCGCCTACTGGGCGCCATCGGAATCAATGGGAGTGAGTTCATGTCCCGACCCCGAAGGCACCTATGTCTTCTCATGATCGTTATTCAGGAGACTGTGTCTGACTGAGATTCTGATAGCACCATTATCCATGAGGCGACGCACATGCGAGACGAGACGTGTTGGGGACGACTGATTATGGGGACGACTGATTATGGGTACGATGTCGACTTATGCAAGCAATTCGCCCTTGAAGATCCTGAGAAGGCGGTTAAGAACGCAGAGTAAGTTACGAGACCACCCTTCCAATATTTTAAAATAACTAGCGTCTTGTAGCAACCACGCTCGCTTCGCGGTTGAGGTGCCGCCTTGGGGTCCCTAGAGGAATGCGTCCAAACCACCACCAGACTCGTCCAGCTTCACTCTCACTCTCACACATGACACACTGCCCGCCCGCCCGCCTGCTCGCCTCTATACCCTCTATATTCAATGAATTTGTTTGATGCCATCATCGGCCCATGGTTCTCGTAGCGGAGAATGTCGAGCTGCTACCGAATTGCTTTGCACCCATGGGCTACGAGTTTGAGTCCCGTGAAAAGTCCTTGCATCGCTATTCAATAGTGTTCTATATGTGTATCGGATATCCGTATCCGTAACCTCCCCGTCAGGAGGGCTGACCTCCTATTTCTTCCTTTTTTTTTGGAAGTGTCGAAGGAAAATAAGTGTGTGATTGGTATTGTTGTTCTTTTGACTGGAGCTGAGAGCCTCGATCAAGGTTGATACTATGTATGAATTCACATCGTCTTCCATCGTCACTGATAATTCTCTACTCTACTGAGCCCACTCGCCTCACGCTGGTTAGTATAGAGGATCATAGACTGTTGAGTTCCAAACTTGTTGTCGGTGGTCGATTGCCTGACATGAACTCGTTGGTGTGGACCATGTGAGCTACGTCCGGCCGTCAGCTGTGATCATAGGGGTCTGTGAGTCAACAAGGGCTCGCTCCGTTCTTGTACTTCGTCATGAAGGTTAGTCAAAGGGCTAGCGAAGCTGTTAGCAGTCTGGGGTTAACACCGCAACTGATGATCCTCAACCACCTGCGTGCGTCTTACCATTGATGTCTTTGTGGCCCACGTGTTTACGAAAGGGGTAGTAGGAGATTGAGAGCGGGACTTGATACTTCAGAGCAGTATGGATCCCGAAAACACAACTGTACCTACCTGTCTCCATCAAGTACCCGAACCCGAACCTCTCAGCCTCTCTATAGAGCTTGTGGCACGACATGTGGTCTCAAATGTGGGTTGTTGGGTAAACTGCTTGGTTCATTCAAAGCTTGTGGCTGCAGATGAGGCCAGCTTGTGCTCTATTGGTACGTGTCTGGAAGGGTACATACTGTGCCTGATGCCGCCTGTAGACACGTCATTCGTCCATTTGGAAAGGGAGCTGAAAATCTTCTTCAGAGCTTGTTCTGTTCTAAGGCTTGTGGCTACGTCTGCAGCCACCTTATCCTCCAGCGGCAGGTATCTCAGAAGGTACGTACCGTGGTATCAGCCACCTGTCTGTCAATAACCCTCATTCATCCTCTCGATATTCTACTCAGAATATACCACGCCGTGTGGTTTCCCTTGAAAGCTGATCCCGTTGAGGTCGATCTTTTGTGCCTGTAAAGCTGGAAAAGAACCACCACATCCGACCAACAGGCCAAACCACCAAACATCGCAAGAGAAGTCAACTCGAGATATGTTCAGACCATATCAACCTCACCCTCGATGGCAACGCTGGGTAGAGACACTTTGAGACACCTTTCTGGAATTGAAGGACTGGAAGACCTGGAGGAGACCTTGGACCGAGCGCCAGGTCAAGGCATAGTGCTCGATGAAGGAGACATTGGCATGGCATTCGCAATGACGCCCCTCTGACACCAATCCCGGTCAGATAGAGCTCCAAGGAAAATAAACTGCACGATGCAAGTAAATCGGCCCACCAGGTTGATTTACCAAGAGTCTTAGAACACGTCTACTTCACCTCGGATTTCACTACTTTACTCAAGTTTCACAGACTACCCAACTACATTTATCTTTTATTTCTGATTACTCAGGCGTCTACCTAACCTTATATTATCGCATATCATTGTATTGATACTTTATAAATGCCATTAGATCTCAGATCGGTGAGTCTGCGGCATTGTTAATATAGTTGCGTGCCGTGAGAGTACAAGAGGCTCGTCACATGACTCGGGGCTGGGGGCTCCTTTTCGTTACAAGCGCCAAAGAATTCATTCAACTGTCGAACGATTACCACCCCTTAGCTACACTCTAAGCAGCATTCCCAGCCCTGAGAACCAAGTGCCCATCTAGCCTTACGACTTGTTTTGCTTCCCTAGATTGTGACAAAATGAGACGTTATGAAGGCCGTTGATGGGCACATCTTGAAACAAGAATATTTCTTCACAGACAGTCTCTTGGCCGGCCTCGCCAAAATCTATCTCAGGTCGTCTCCTTATCTACGTCCGTGTTCCTTGGCATCGGTTCGATGTCTGCCCAGTACCACTATGGGCAGCACCGTAGCGCCGATATATTGTTCCCGTGGAGATGTGACTCATCGGCCTCGAAACGAACTCTTGTTCTTTCCTGATTCATGAGCTCCACCTATCACACGGAAAACTTTGAAGGACCTTGTTGTACTCGTAGTGCGTATTGCTCTCTCTGTGAATGAGGCCACAGTGGTTGATGACGGAGCGGCTCATGCATGGCTTCAACAACGGGTGAACACAGAAGCTTAAGAGGGACAGAAAGCGATGTAAGAATGCCCAGTCTTTAATCGCGAAAATACAAAGTTCTGTCTCCAAAGGTACGAATTCACCGGTGCATCAAACTTTGAGCCACGAAGGCCGTCAAGGTTGACGATCTGACAATTGACGTCCGCCACCACACTCAAATTTGTAGTGGCTACAATGATTTCAACTGGCGTCCATCGTTGAGAACCTCTCATCTAAAAAGACAAGCCGTCTGGCTGCCTGGAAGCGAAAAACGATATATGTCCCAATGGCCCCTGTCGCGTCGATGTACGTCTGACAACCTTTTCCCGTCACGTTCATGTCTCTTTCGGGGCCCTGGTCGGTCTTATGATGTAATCTCCATAAGTGCCCTCCAAATACTGAAATTTTTTCTCGTACATAGGTAGCAAGTGATATCTCCAGAGCCTTGACAGCCCTGCCCCGCTATGTACTGTTCAAGCCATCAGCAAACGTTGAATCTAGGACAGCAACCCGGTGGACTCCTCAACCATTGTATCCCAAAGCTTGTTTCTATTCAAGTACTTAAACCCATCTTTTGCCAGACTCTTCCTCTTCTCTTTCTTCTTCTGTCATCTTCTCTTACATATGTAACCTCAATCTATCTTGTAGACAACAACCATCTGAAACAAACCTCAAGATGAAAGACATCACCATCCTGGCCAGCATCCTGCTGGTCTCCGTCGGCCCCTCCCTCATCAACGCCGAGGCCAGTCTCCCTCCGCGGCCCACGAACGTGATCGAGGGTGCCTCCCTCTCGGCAACCCCCCCCGCGATCATCTACGAGCTTTTCGGACCGAAGAAAAGTAATACCCAGACTCCCGACGTCAAGGAGCCTCAACCTACGGTCCCCGTCAAGGAGAAACCTTCCACTCTCCTCATCCACCAAGGTCCCCTAGAGGTACACCACGAGGCCCGCAAGCCACAGAGAACCAAGACCCAGATCAGCTCAGAGATAGACGAGACCGCCGAGTCCCCCCTCTGCACGCACGGCAAATGCCCCAAAGAGATGGAGGTCCCCCGGACCCTTGAGCCTAAACAGCAGGAGACGGGTGACGTGGAGTCCTCCGCGGACGATACCGCCGATTCTTACCTCTGCGCTGACGGAGAATGTCCCAAAATGCCTGCGGCGAAGCGGCCGGTCCCCAAGACCCTTGAGCCTAGACAGATGGAGTTTGGCCATGGGGGAACCGCTACGGACGACACCGACGATACTCGCCCCTGCCTTTACGGAGAATGCCCCCCTAAGATCCCCAAAAAGATCTGCACATGGAACAAATGCCCCGGCAATGCGATGGAGGTCCCCCGGACCCTTGAGCCTAAACAGCAGGAGAAGGGCGCCGTGGAGTCCTCCGCGGACGATACCGCCGATTTCTACAAAGATAGCCCCAAGAGACGTGCGCGCCTGTCGAAGAAGCTGGCCAAGCTGGCGGCCACCAAGACCCTTGAGCCCAGACAGCTGGTGACTGGCGAGCCCTCCGCGGACGAAGAGGAAGAGAAGGAGGATGAGTACTACATCCCTCCGCCCCAACGTATCCGGACTTCCAAGTGCAGGGGCAAGCACAGGAGGACCACTTCCACCACGGTGACTACTTCGTCTACCACCAGCACCGTCACGCCGACTTCCACCACCAGCTCGAGCTCCTCTTCTACCACCACCTCCTCCTCGTCCTCCACTTCCACTTCCACCACGGCAACCGACGATCATGTTACGCGAACCACTACGGTTACCGTGACGGCGAACCCGGGCTACAGCCCGACTTACATCCTGAGCCCGTACCCCACGACCTTCCGCAAGGTTGTCGCTTAAACGCGGTCCGCCGAGATGTTTAAAAGTGAAGGATATCGGATTCGCCGTCGTCTCTAAGGCTACTGCTATGGGTTTGGGAGACTAATGTCGAAAGTGTGGAGTGAATGAGTATTCGTTTGTTTTCCCTTGAGTGCAATAAAGTTCATGTTAACAAGGAAAACATGGTGTATTTGGGGTTTCGTTTGCCAGCTTTTTAGCTGAATCAGTCCTTTTAGTCTTGGTACGCTTGGTGAGATAGGTCATAGTGAATTCAAGTATCGTTCTCAGTAATCTCGGGTGTTTTCCATACATTGGACATTTGATGTGATCAAGTCCTCGTCGACAAAGGGAGGTTGCACTAAGCCGTGGAAAGCGATCGCATGACGGATAGGCATTTCTCTTTCAAATTCTGACGATGAGAGCTATCTACACAGGTAGTCAAGACTGACAAGGTGTACCAAGGACACGATTACTGCCCCATCTCAACCATCTCCATCCATAGTTGATTGTATCGGTGGGGACGGTGTGAACATGTCAATTTCGCGGTGAAATCGCACAGTACAGAGCTGGTGTTAGCCGACTCAACGAGCCGACCAGGCGTGATTTTCTTTTCTTTTCAGTCTACTTTTTCTTTTGGAAGACTGAAAAGCTTTGCCCAGCAACTAAGTTGCTTTAGTGAAGATAGTTCTTGACGTATGAGTTGCCTGTAAACCCCAAGTTTGCAACCGCCTCTTCTAGTCTTCAACCAGAGCCAAGTTGTCGGGACGTCGGGGGCCAAATTTGCGCGCCGGATTCTCCACGACAAGGAGGCGGAGAAACGCGGAGAAATGCTGGAGCCGCTGTGGCTTTTTTTGCTCGGCTCCGGTCTGGCACCTACACAGTAGGTGATGCATAGTCGAGTAATTCATCAGCCCAAGGTCTTAATTGACTTGACTCAAGGAGTTAAGCTAGTACTGCCAAGAGTCTAGGTACTGATCAGAATCAACGTAGTTAGACTTTGACTCGGTGAATTGTGCCATTAGCAGAGGACTCGCTCAATGTCCTGTCACAACACCGTGATAGCGTCTCGAACAACACGACCTTTGTATGTTCGGCTTCCGTGACTAGGTGATTCGGAACTCAGATATTTACCAAACACCCTCCCGGCATCGCACTGCGTTCATCCCCCCGTCCCTCGGGAGTTGACCGCACCCAACAACCCCGGAGCCGTTCCTCACGAGTCTTGTCAAAACTTCTCTATTTCTCCCCCACACCACCCAACCCCAAATCCCTCCACAATGCTCCCCAAGTGCCAGGGTAGGGCCGATTCTTGCGGAGCGTTTGCGGGGTAGACCAACCCAGCCCATTGGATCGGACCTGTCATGCCATGCTACTCTGCCGTTCTGTCTCCATCGACGACAAATAAGCTACTGATTTTTTTTCCTCTCTTCATCAAGCATCATGGCCTTCCTGGCCCCAGGCTTGGCATCCATGGCCTCGGGACGGAGTATGTACTGCGGCGAACGACCGCTTCGGACTTCTTCTTTCTCTCTTCGTGACGTAGCCCACTCCTCTAGCTTGGAGTCCATCCCCCCCGGCCGGCCTTGGTCTCGTGGCATGACGCCGGGATCACCACCCTCGAGGGGTCGAGCCATGGTGGGCTTCATCTCGCAGCATGAAGAAGAACGACCTGGGGCTCCAATGTCCGACCTTCTCCCGGTCCCGCAGTCCATGGCCAAAGTACATAATGGCCAAGAGCTGCCCTGCTCCTCGGTGACCTGACGAGACGACAGCTCAGCAGCGTACGCTCGTCAAGACATCGTCGGTCACATACACAGCGTAGCACCCGGACAAACACCATGACCCGACTCAACCTGCTCGCCGCCCTCTCCACGGCCTGCGCCACGGCGTCCGCCCTGGTCCCGAGACAGGCCGTCCCGGACAACACCACCACCGGCACCGTCCCCACCGTAGACCTCAAGAACGGCTCCTACTATGGCGTCTACAACGGACCCCACGACCAGGACTTCTTCCTCGGCATGCCGTACGCCCAACCCCCCGTCAACGACCTCCGCTTCCGCGTCCCTCAACCCTTAAACTCGTCCTGGGACGGCACCCGCAACGCGACAGAGTACTCCCCTCTCTGCTTCGGCTACGGAAGCGACACCTGGGTTCTCGGCAACCACGTATCAGAAGACTGCCTAACCGTCAACGTCGTCCGCCCCCACGGCGTCGCCGCCGACGCGAAGCTCCCCGTCGCGGTATGGATCCACGGAGGCGGCCTCACCAACGGCGGCAGCGCCGACCCGCGCTACAACCTCTCCTTCATCGTCGAGCAAGGGGTCAGGATGGGCTCCCCCTTTGTCGCCGCCAGCATCAACTACCGCCTCCACGCATGGGGTTTCCTCTGGAGCGACGAGATGAAGGCCGAGGGCGCGGGCAACCTAGGCTTCCGCGACCAGCGCCTGGCCCTGCGCTGGGTCCAGGAGAACATTGCCGCGTTCGGAGGCGACCCGGCGCACGTCACCCTCTGGAGCGAGAGCGCCGGCTCCCGCAGCGTGGCCTCGCAGATGCTGGCCTACGGCGGCCGGGACGAGGGCCTCTACCGCGCCACGATCCTGCAGAGCGGCACCGGTCTCGGCACAGACTTTGGCGAGGTTGAGGCGTCGTCGTCCTCTGCGGCTACGTGGCAGGACTACTACGACACCATCGTGAACAAGACAAACTGCTCCGCGGCAGCCGACACCCTCTCCTGCCTCCGCACCGTCCCGACCTGGACCCTCAGCGACGTGCTCAACGCCACGACCACGAACCCGGCCTTCACCGACGTCGTCGACGGCGAGTTCCTCGAGGCCGCGCGCCACGAGCTCGTCAACGAGGGCAAGTTTACGCGCGTGCCGCTGCTCATCGGCGCCAACTCGGACGAGGGCACGCAGTTTGGCATCAAGGGCGTCAACACCACGGCGCAGTGGCAATCGTACCTCCGCTCCGGCGGGGCGGGTAACCTCACGATCGAGGTGCTTTCGGCGCTGTACCCCGATATCCCGCGCCTCGGCACGCCGGCGACGCTCAAGGGCCGACCAACGGGATCGCAGGCGAATTTCGGATCCATGTGGAAGCGTGTGAACGCCTTCGCGGGCGACCGCGCGCAACACGGTCCCAGGCGATTCTTTGCGCGCAACTGGGCGGGGCCAAGGGCCAACCAGAGCGTGTACTCGTACAACTTCAACGTGCTCGTCAACGGCATGACGCCCGCCGAGGGCGTGAACCACTTCCAGGAGGTTGCGTTTGTGTTCAACAACACGGGCGGGCTGGGGTACGAGACGGCGGTGGCGGTGAATCCTTTCGAGGGCAAACCCGAGACGTACAAGGCGCTGGCGGAGATCATGTCGAGGATGTGGGTTGGGTTCATCACCAAGGGGGATCCGAATGCGAATGCCGGGGCGACGGATGTGCGGTGGCCGCGGTATGATGTTGAGAATCCCGAGATTATGGGGTTCGATGTCAATGTTACGGACTTGGTTCATGTTCAGCCGGATACGTACCGCGCTGAGCCGATTGAGTATTTGATTCAGAAGCTTTGGTCGTGAAGGTCATGGGTTGGATGAATCGAGGAGAGGATACGGATCATTACAATATTTAATAATTTCTGCACACGCTCGAAGAGGACTGTGAGAGGAAATGATGTCTAGATTCCTTGAGCCTGGGCGGCACGCTCCACAGGATGGACGGCGTTCGATTGGGTAAATTGGCAAGTATCTCGTCTTCCAATCTGAGGAGGCACTACAGGTACATGTAAGAATGGGTAGACGGGCTGCAGTTACCTTGCCTTGGGCACGTAATTCAAAGCCAAGTACGGTATGTTAAATAGGGGAGCAGCTGCGACTGTGTCTATGGTTCGCTATTATGGCCCAGAAGCCCAACACAATATCGGGCTTTTAATTCAAAAATCAGCCAAACCTCCACGAAATTATCAGCCTACCTGTTTCTTTAATGTGATCTAGTCTGTCGGTTTCTCCCTGATGAGTTAGGTCAATCTAATACAAGTAAAAAAGCAAAGCAGGTCCTGGCAGATCTACAATTCTATGTCATCGCACAAAGGGGTTAGCATCTCGGTGCCTCCTAGAGCCACGGTCGTCTGATCAGACACCATACGAATAGCCTTTCGTGCAGAAGATGATTACTGCAGTACTATGTATATATAGTATATCCCATGACGCCAGGCAACAGACTTACAGACACCAGGTGCCACGGCGAGACCGAGATCCCAAGCCCGGCAATGCTTCGTACAACATCCCGAACGTCAAACTACTACTTATCTATGATTGAAACCCTTCCAAATGCTGCCTTTTGTCGTTGGATCTGTGGTCCAGACCCTCGTCCCCAGAATATCTTTATGATCGATGGTGCCGTTCGCTGTCCTGCCCCGTGACCGGGATATCGTCAACTTTTTTCTGTCCCTTGCCCGAACCATGACGATGTCTCTACGAGGCTTAAGACTGAACATTTGAGAATTGGCCATCGGCGCTTATGCAGACCAGACAGTCAGAGACGTCCCTGGACCGAGAGCACTGTCATGCCGTCCAAGGTAGTTCGGGATACCATGCGTGCGGTCGACGGGTCCCCGGGGCTGCCTGATCTTATCGGGTACCTTACCCCTACTGCACCACCCCGTGCTTCCTGGTCACCTGAATGCAGCTGTATTGCCCAAGCTTCCAAGGCTGTGCGAGCAGTGCACGAGCAGGGGTAAACAGAGCAAGACACGCAGACTGACAAAAGATTCGTCGTCCAAGCGCTGCGTTTCAGAGATGGTTGAGGGACTTCCACGCCTTATCTCACGGGGAATAGTAATAACAGAATCTGCCAGAAAGAAGTTGCGAATCTCTCAGAGCAGTCGGGGGCTTCAAGGAGGTCAGTAACCACGCTCTGTCATACATAGCAGTTTCAATTAGGTGAAGGCGGGTCCCTTACCTCTGCATCTAGCCTGAAGGATCCAACGTGCAGCCCAACAAGCACCAACAAGTCTACGCGTTAACCGATATTTAGTCTGACATGCATATAGAGTCGCCAATCAATGGGCAATTTCTAGGTTTGTAGGTACTCAGCTCATACTGGGATCATGATCCTGGTTGGTTATCTATGTTGCTTCGGCAAGGCAGTCTTTGATTTGAAATGCATCAGGCTCGCAGCAAGGTTGTGCTTCTCGCTATGTGAAGAAGCTATTGCCGCGATTGTTATCGTTTTCTTCCCTCAACCTTTTCTTACAAACACACCAGCTCATTGCTTTGACTCAGGACTCACCTGCTTCGTAAGATACAGGCGGCTACTTGGGAGGACGACTCCTTCTTACCGTCTTATTACCCACCACCAACCGGTTGGGGAGAGCGAACAAGAAGCTATCGAAACGAGCAACAAGCGCAATTCCTCATCTTCAAGGCCAATAATGGAAAGAGGACGGTGGATCACCGTATCGGCAGCTTCATCCGCCGAAGATGAGGCTCGGTCACTTGAACCTGATGTACAAGAGGATTCCAGTCGCGCATCCCTCATATCCATCACGTCATTGCCGTCTAGCACTGGTGAGGCCGGCCAAGAAAGAACACAGAATTTAGAAGAAATGTCATATCTAGAGGTCAAGTCAGCTACCACCCAGGAAAATTATTGGCATAATGGCGTATTTGGGATTTTTGTGATTATTTCCAAATGGAACTCAACATAATCGCGCATGGCTGAACATTGTGTTGAGTGAACGAGCGCTGATCTCGATAACGATTTCGGCTGTGGTTTTACGAACGGCTGTATCTGTTCAGGAGATGTGAGACCCTCCCTAGCATGGCTTCGTATAACACGTAGGAAAGTCTGACCAAATCAGTGGTGTGACCTCGATGCTGGCCAGTATCATACTTGAACGACGTGGCGTTACAATGTACAGCTTCGCTGCTGTCTCACCCCTTCGCACTGTGAACAATGGCCCTCTGAGCCTCTTGCTGTCCTTGAGAGGTATGCTCAGTGCGGCAGGCTTCTGGGGTGGAGTGGTCTCACTCTTGTATTGCACTACGCTCATCCTTCAATTCACGTCCATTATCTTGTTCGCCGATATCAAGACAGGCACCTTAACGGGAGGTGAGATGATGAACGTCACATTGACAGGCATGTCCTTCCAGAACATCAATCAAACGGCAGCAAGAATGGAAAAGCCAAGGTTGTACTGGTCAGAGCCAATTAACAGTTTTCCAGCTTTCGCGCAAAATCATGAGGATTACAATATTAGGGACTATACCACAAATGGAGATGCGACGGACGCCGTGGTAGACACAGGTCTGACTTATCCATCCCATCGAGTGCTGTTGGGCTACAGATACATTGCTCCACTCTTTTGCCCACTCTTAACCCCTCACATCAGGAATACATGACAGTACGTCATTTACCCCTAGGAATCCCTGGCTTCCCTTCACCACCAAAATCGCCTATCTACACATGCCAATTCGTCACGATGGCCTCGAGCGACGATAGTGACTCTGAAGGGTCTGTACATTCCTGTATCAACGTTGCGATACTTCCTGAAGCCCTCTGCTTGCTTGTCTTGTAACAACAAACGAATAGCATTAGGCGAAGTCACACGGAACTTGCGAAGAGATAGGAGAAAGAAGACGAGGTCAGGATGCAAGCAGTGTGGGGTTGCGATTTGTAACTCTGATGATTGCTGGTACCTCTATCACACTCAAAATATATAGGCAACCGAAGTACCTTTCAAATAGGGCCATTGATTGGTCGAGAAAACTCTTGGCTGCCCCTGAGTGGTCAGGATCCCTTCTGTGAATGTATCTGTAGCCCAACAGCACTCGATGGGATAGGGCTTTTCTCCCATTTGCGAGCGAAGATCAACGAGGCTCAATCTCGACCTTCTCGGGAACAGCCACGATCGTGGACTCCAGAGTAGTGTGCGTTCGGCCGAGAATGCATGCTGGCCACAGTATCGCCCTTGTGCCTAGGGGTCTAAACAACTATGGCGACGGATTCCTCGACCGTTGGTTTCTCAGCGGAGCTATCAGCGTGGACCCGGACGTCACCCTGCCTGGTCTCATTTTAGCTCACGAGCCAGTGACCCTGGCTCCCAGTCTGACGCCTGGAGACCGGGCCTGGGTCAATTTTTATTACAACTAATCAGACCGAAATGGGTCTTTTTATATCCAACCCGAAAGCCCGATAACAAACATAATGTTTGGCCAAAGCGCTACGGAATGGAACGTGGTGCAATTAGACATCGCTGAAGGCCCACGACTTTTGTCGTCACTGGACCCGCGTTATCCACAAATCGTTGGGCCTACGACTGCCGACATTTTCAACGTCTCCAGCTCCCAAACTGGTGGCGAGACGGCCAGATACGAACCAGCCTATTATCTGAGAGGCGACAAAATCCCACTAATGACTGGCCGTGCTTACCAACTGATGAACATTATGCCTGCCGCGTCGTACCCTACGTTTGCAAACGAGACAGGCGGTTTTTTAGAAGTGGATGGCTATGGTATTCTGTACTATGTACGACCCGAATTGCCGGAATTACGCGGAAGAGCTGAACAGCTCGTTGTCAAGCAAGAGAACGAGTGGCTCGTGTTTACTGTACCAGAAATACCAGGATGGCGCATCGCCACTACGCTATGTTTTAATTCTTTTGCTTCGTTCGACGCAAATGTCTCGCTGAGAACTGAAAATATCATCAAGGAACCGAGTTTAACGACTTGGAATGCCACAGCTCGACGGTTTGGGATTACGCCTATTCGGCAACAGCTGGACGAAGATAGGCCAACAGATGGAGAGACAGACAGTCATCTGACGGTCTTAGAAACAATACCGGAACAGCTCAGGGGTCAGGTATCAGTTGCATTTCAAAGGTCAAAGACTCAAGGCCTCGACTACATCCTATCACCAGCGCAGGGATTCATCCAAAATGCACTGGGCGACTATGAAGCTTCTGGCAACATATTTTGCACTGACTGCAAACTCAATATACTTGCGGGCCCAGGTAGCGCAAAGTTCTGGCCAGACAACACACTAATTGATATCAACTACATGAGATTTTTTCAAAACAATAGTCAACTCCATAATCACATCTTCCAAGATATTATCCAAAGCACGCATAGCCCAGTGAGAGCCCTCCAAGCATACTACACAATCCTGGCCCGCCAGGCATATTACGACAGGCTACCGTATTTCGACATCACAGATACACCAATTATTTCGCTCTTCACCAGCGTGCCTTTCCCGAGATCACCAAGGGGGCTGATCGTGGTTAGCGTGGTGCTTTTTATTCACATCACATTGGCTGTCTTTGTCACGGTATGTTTTCTTACGAGGACTACAGTATCGCGGCTGGGAGACAACGCGTGGCAAACCTTGGCTCAGACTAGGTCCAATGATGTGGATGAAGCTTGTGCAGCTGCAACCATGTCGAAGGACGGGGACGTTAGAGAATGGCTGGCGTCTAGGGGTATGGGAAAGGGCTTGTTTCATCTCGGATGGACCGGAGACCCCCCAAACGAGACCGTCGGACCAAAAAGAGACTGAATTTGCGTAATTGTGTCAGCTTCTGAATAGAACTCCTTGAAAAATAAAATCGTATAGCGTTCCCAGGTGTATTCCACTATCTCGGAGCATCGTGAGATGATGATTCGTTCTGCTTGGATGCTCAGGTCGACGTTCTCGTTATCTAGGTCTGTGATTGAACATGGTCTCGGTCTTTTGCGTCCTGCCTGTTTGATGCGCTTTGGTCTTGGTTGTGGAAGCTGATTTGAATGTTTAGAAGGACCTCCGCGTTCACGCCGCTCTAGAGATAGGAGCTTCTGGTGAATGCTATTAATTGTTTTGCGGAGCTCCCCAATATCTTCGACGTAAGCTCCGGGCTGGTTGTCGTTAAGTATCGACGTGTTGGTGACCACTAGGGAATCCGCATGCTGTCTCGTCGGGCTACTGTCCTTCTTCATGAAGTGAACTTCACTGAGAGTATTGCCCGTGACGGACGGCGCGCTGGCCTGGGAGCCTTCTTCAATGTCGTTATCGTAGCCATTTCTATTACCATCGTCGTCGGAATCATCTGTGATATTGTTCGTGAGATCGACGATGAAAGGAGACCTGGATTTGCTAAGCTCTCTGGCGTAGGAAGACTTTGTGACGTTGGTTGGTCGAAATCCCTAAATTAGGGAACACGACGAACTGTAATAGAGTTGGTAGAAGATGCCTAACATACTGGCAGCTTCAAACACCTAGTAGGTGATGGTTGAAATCCACACCAAACAGAAAGGCGGGGCGATGCAAACAGGGGGTAGGTGTTGATTGAGAAATAGGGAGTAGGTGATGAATGAGAGAACTTGCTTCATCATGAAGTAAAAAGTCTAGTTATTTGAAGTTCTTAGACATAATATCAGTAAAAAATATAATGTACAGTAAGTTTGGAGTTAACTGTTACGACCCAACAAGAGACCAGGGCGTGCCCCAATGGCACCTGGCGGCTACAACGCACATATATGCAAGACGGGACGATGATGATGATGATGATGATGATGATGATATATTTAACGTCTGGTAACAAAAGGACGTACCGGGCGTTATGCCGACATGGTCTATGCTAATCTAAACTATATTATAGGCTACCGTCTTTACCTAACGTTCCTATTTAATGACTCGGGCAAATTTTGGAAAAGAAATTGGTCTCCTCTATCTATTCGTATAAAAGAGAGGCTCCCTTAGCAGAACCTAATAAGAAATCAATACTTACTTTGGCCATACGTTGGCGGAGGTAGCGCGGTGTAGCCTTGCGTCCACGCTTACAGAAGTAGAAATAGACTGGTATCTTAGGTTTCCCACAGCTGCAATTAAGCAACGTATCTTAATGAGCGAATCTCTCGTAGTATACTGCAAAGTCTCCATGATGGGATCTTGCTGCGTATAGCCTTCCTAGTAAGTGCCGAGGGAGGCGGAGTTCGGGCGGCTTAGGGTGAAGAATTATCTCGAGGTCGGTATATTACCGAGGGCATTAGGACAGCCATTTTCTAGCAAAGGCTTGGAAGGCAGCTGCTTTAGCTTGCCTTTCTAGGTGCGCTAATGAGGGCTGTGTTTGTGATTTTGGGATTAGTTTGCAGGCTTCCTTGGCTAGAGCATCCGCTTCTTTATTTCCTGGTACTCCCGTATGCTCAGGGCACCACCAAACATAAACCCTGCCGGGGGTTGTCCAGCTCTCTCTTTGTCTCCGAGTCTAGGAGGAAGAGAGCCTATTGAAGGCCCTAAATCTTGCCTGGCTACTTCCTATGCTCTGGGAGTATAGTCTAGCCGCGACTGCAAGGTTATCGAGGCAGATATAGATATTATCTACCATACGAGCCGTAGGAGCCCGGGTAGCTTCTATTAGGCCGTAATACACAGTATATACCTCAGCGTTATATACCTTAGTTTAGGAGCCGAGTAGTTTGGATCCGCGGAAGATCTACCGTATAGCTTGGTACCCTACCTAGCTTGCTCCGGCGGAGGTATTACTGCCGTTCGATATCTAAGACCCGTTAGTATAGACAATAATATCCCGTTTAGAGAAAGTTGCTATCCTGCCTGCAAAGGAGAGGGCCTATTCTTCTTTGGTCTTATTAGGTTCGTAGCCGACCCTGGCGAGGGCTATCTGCCAATCCGCTAGTTACTCCCAAGGGGGGAGTTCTAACGGATCGATGTATTCGGTATTTTTGCTTACGAGGCTTGCTATTCGTCATAGCCGTAAGTCTGGTCCTGATTTATCCCTGAGTCTCGTTCGGAGAGGGTGTCGCTCGTCCAGACGATGGATTCTAGTGGACGCTGTATAGAGCTTTGCATCTAGTATCACTTCTGCTAGGGGTAGAGCCGCCTTGTACTATAGGATCGGTATAGGCATCGTTCTATATACGGGGACCATCGCTCTAATGGCTTTGGTTTACGTCGCGTCTAATTAGTATAGTAGATTACCAACCCCGTTTAAGATAGTATATCTATTCTTTATCCGGCTCTTGCCGGGCCACTATACTTTAGATATATAGTACTAAGTAGGTAATATATAAAAGGTGATCGCTTAACGAAGTAAGTATATCCCATCGAGTGCTGCAAGGCGACAGTACATTGGCTCCACATAAGGGGCCCTCTTTTACCCCGCACCGCATCTGGTACATCCACTGCTTGAGTTGCCCCTATGATTTCTACTACGGTACATCCACCAAACTGCCTCGAGTGCGATGTAGCTCTCTGTAACTCAGAAGATTGCTGGTACCGATTTCATACGCAGAATCTCTAATAATTGGAAGTATCTATTATCAATTACGTTGGTTGGTTGGAAAAAGGGGCCCGAAGTGGCCCGATTGGCTGCTCCCCCGCATCTCAATGTACTGTCGCCTTGCAGCACTCGATGGGATAGGCGCGCCCTAGAAAGTATTCCCTAGTCCCCGTAGTTTGTTAACTACTTAGCATGCCTTTATAGAGAGGTTTCTTACATAATTCTTAAATATAAGTTTATAATCAAAGTGAACTGTTACGGCCAGCTAGTCGTAGGGGTAGTTTGCAGAAGTTGAGGCTGCGGAACTGGTAACAGTATTCGTAGTCGGGGATAGCTTCAGGGAAGCTATGTCTGTCAATCGTAAGGGTAGGTAAGGCTTCGGTGATCAATCGTAGTCTTGTCAAGGTGATAGCTGAAAGCGGATGTTAATCCTGATACGAAGTTAATTGCTGAAGAGCTATGGAAAGTCTGTCCTAGAGTCCGGCTCGAGTCCATCCTATATACAAGTCCTGGTCCTGAACATATCCCTTGTCAATGATCAGTTCCTCTGATCGGGTGAGCGCTCATTATGATGATGATGATGATGTATTTAACGTCTGGTGGGTGAGCGCTCATTGTTTGGTGTCAGGCCCATCCCAGTACACTCGTTACAACGATTGTCACACTATGCCTATGAAACAATATGGTCTTACACAAGCATGACTAAGTTTGCCAAGGATATGCCAGTATAAAGGGTCTTCCACTCACTATATAGATAGTCGGGATATTCCCATAGCCACTCGTTCTTCATACTCATCAATACATCCCATTGACCCCCTACCTGATAATCGCTGCCCAACATTTGGCATGAGCGCTCATGGCCCCACCATGGTCGCTCATGTCTTATCTTATCATCACGTGACTTGTACCATAGTTCTTCCGTTCCGTGAGAGGGTGCCTAGTGTCC